AGGGAGGGCCTTCTCTGTGGGTGCCCCCACCCTCTGGAACGAACTACCCCCCGAGATCCGGATGATTCCGGATCTCCTTACTTTCCGCCGCGCCCTCAAGACATGGCTTTTCCAGCAAGCGGGCCTGACCTAAGGAGGATTTTATTTAGGGATGATTTTAGGTATAATTTTAATTGGAACACAGCTTCGAATATTTGGTTTTAATTTGGTTTTAGAGGGGTTTTTATTTTTATTTTTATTGATATGTGTATCTGTTTTAATATGCTGTGCACCGCCCTGAGTCCTGCGGGAGAAGGGCGGTATAGAAATTAAAATAATAAATAAATAAATAAATAAATAAATATAAATATTAATCACTGTCCATTTCCATACTGTTATTTGCAACCCATTTCTGTATCATATTAACTTAATTTTATATTTATATTTTATTTCTCTCCACTTGGTTACTTACTTGTTTGCTTACTTGTTTGTTTGTTTGTTTATCTATTTATTTGCTTATTTATTTATACGCAGAATTTGGAGACCACCCAATTCCCTCACAGAATGACTTAATAGCTATCCCATTTAATTTTGTATCTTTTTGTGCAGCTTGATCAACATTCTCCCTTCTTATTTATCCAAGTTATTAAAGGAGAAGGAGAAAGGCCTAGAACAGAACCATGGGGCAGTGCAGTCAGTGCCAATTTGACAGTCCATAAGAGTGTCCTAAAGTAGACTGTTCAACAGGGCTCTCTTTTAAAAAATATCATAGATAGAATACTGCGGTCTTGATCTCTGTGAGGCCATCTAGTCTGACTTTCATGAATAAAGGTGAGATCTGAAGCCACGTCTTCATGCCTTGGAGCTGAGTACAACATTGCATGAATCTCTTTCTTTTTTAGCAATTTGTACCTGAAAACTTCGTTACTGAATATGGTGACTGCAGGGAGAATTCTTTATACACAAAAATGGAAAGATACAACAATCCCCACATGGAAGAATGGATGGGAAAACTGCCACAAAGAAGAGGGGGTCAACCCATTCTCCAAGTCCAAAGCGCCTGAAGGCAGGTCAAGGTGCAATGGATGGAAATTAATCAAGGAGAGAAACAACCTAGAACTAAGGAGAAATTTCCTGACAGAATAATTCAGTAGAACGGCTTGTCTCCAGAAGTTGTAGCTGCTCCAACCCTGGAGGTTTTTTTTAGAAGAGATTGGACAACCATTTGTCTGAAACGCTACAGGGTCTCCTGCTTGAGTAGAGGGTTGGACTATAAGACCTCCCAGATCCCTTCCAACTCTGTTATTCTGTTAGGGATGGCCAAATTGATTGCTTTAAATAAAGAAAAGAATATATCGACTGTTGTTTCTGTTTGGAAACCGCTTCTAGACTTTGTGCTCAAGACAAAAAAAAGTGAATTTCTGATTTTGGGATTCACTGATTAGATAAATTTGTTGTTATAGAAATGGCTACTATATACTGACTATGTCAAAGTAAAAAGTTGACACTGTATTATTTTCATTCTACTGCACTGAAAAAAAAGTTGAAAATTAACACTTTTTTCCTTCTTTTTTTTCCTTATCCTATTCTCTTTCTCCCCCATTTCTCTCCCCTACTTCCCTATTATATTTGTTTTCATTTGTATTTTATATTATAATATATACATATGCATACATATATATATAAAAGAGAAGTTTGTATCTGAACTGTTTCTGAATCAAAGAACTTACCAACTTTCAGTTGGCCCATTTCAGGTTGAAGTACAACTTATTCCTTTTAAATCCTAAAATCCTAAGGATGATGCTCAGTTGGACCTACAAGCTCAATCCAAGAGGAGGTTGAGATGAAATGGGAAAGTGATGGGAATCCCAATTTGTACCCTTCAAAAGTCCCCCCCCCCCCCCGTGGCTACATTGGAGAGATCTTAAATACTTCCCAGCCCCTTTCCTTGCAACATCTAACTGCCCATTTGCTTATCTGTCTTCCCAGCCAATCAACTACTCTCCCTTTGTGACATCACAACCACCCACAGTCAATGCCCACAACCACCTTGATGGACTATGCTGGATGGTAATGATTAGTTTTTGATAATGCCACCAAATGTGGCATGAAGATTTGCATTCATTCTGGTGCCTTTTCCTTTGAATATACACAACACTACTTGAAACCTTATCTCGTCTTTTCCTCTTAACTGAAGGCCTGTTGTACATTATTTTCACCAAGGCTTGTGTGTGACAGCGAGTGCTTTCCCCTAGAAATGAGATCCAGGATCAAGTCACCAGACACAGAACTGACTGGAAGACAGTCACGTTCTCTTGGCCTGATCGACCTCACAAGGCTGTTGTCAGGAACTCTCACCAAAAAAGGCCATATGTAATACAAAAGTGTTCAGAGTGTGCATGTGAGCATTCCTGATTACAGGAATCTGGTTTCAACGATTAGTAAAGGTTTTATTATATAAAGGAGGTTTATTTAGGAAAATCTATGAGACTAGTCTAGTCTAGACTAGACTAGACTAGACTAGACTAGACTAGACTAGACTAGAATAGAATAGAATAGAATAGAATAGAATAGAATAGAATAGAATAGAATAAACAAAGTTGGAAGGGACCTTGTAGGTCAGGGGTGTCAAATTCAATTTCACTGAGGGCCGCATCAGCATTGTGGTTGCCCTCGGGGGAGACCGGGGG